CGCTGCAAGCTACTCCCCTTGGAGAGGTGGAGTACATACAGCACTGCGAGAGCCGCAGCAGCGCTGTGAAGTCCCGAGTGTAGCCAAGGCCTAAGCTAAGAGACACTTCCTTTTTTCTTTCAGGATTTTTTTTCGTAGAAACTTTTCTTGGTGAAAAAGGCAGGTTTGGGAACACCAAAATATTTCACGAATGCATGTCAATTTCAGCAGATTGTTTGTTTGGGTTTAAATATATATATATGGTCAGCTTTAGGGCAGGAGGAGGGTAAAAACTGGAGCCCGTTTATATATAAATGCTTCATTTGGACTTTTTTGTTTTAAATGCCAAGTTTTCAATTTTTCGATCGGAAATGACTTTTTGTTTAGAAATTTCCTTTCATTTTACTTTAAAAATTTTCAAAATGTCAGATGCTCAACATCTAAAAGCAATGTTTCATTTCAGATTGAAAGAAATGTTTTGATTTCTTTGATTCGTCAAAATTTTCAAAAAAATTCAGTTTTGGTTTGACCCAAAATGATTTTTTTTTTCAATTTTTTAGAATTGCCAATAAAATAAAAAATCTCTTATTTATCAGCTAGGTAAGTGCTTCAGGAAAGAGAGAAGAAGATTTTACTAGAGCTATTTGGAAAATGGTATTTTGTTCCACAGACAATTTTGAATTTTTGGCAAAAAAATCAAAATATTTTAATTTTGAAGTACTGCCACATGGCATCATGGGAGTTGTAGTTTGGGTGCCTCAGCTCCCATCCTCCTTGATAGGCTGGACTTCCTATCAGACTGCATCTCCCATGATGCACCATGGTATTATGGCTGTTTTATGGTGCATCGTGGGAGATGAAAGTCCAGCTGGGGAGATCAGCCCATAGAGGAGGATAGGAACACAAGGCACTTGAACTGCCGTGCCCATGTGGCACCATGATGACATTTTAGAATCAAAACTTCTCAATTTCAGAACATTCAGATTTTCAAAGAAAGATCAGAATTTGCTGCAGAAAGCAGACACTTCTTGCCAACAAACATATTCAGTTGAAAATGCCATTTTCCTCCAAAAAAACAATTTAGATGGAAAATTTTCAACGGGCTCCAGTTTTTACCCTCCTCCTGCCCTAAATCTGATTGTATCAAACTTATCCTCCTAGGGCTGGTGAAAGAACAATAGACAGCCTCTCTCAAATTATCAGGAACATGCCCACTTTGGCCAACATGGAGTTTCCTGCTCTAGGGCTCCTTTACAAAGGGGAAACTTTCTCAATATCCTAGTGTTAAGCTGTTGTTTTCTTTATTATTTAGAGGTCCTATTGAGATTGGAGCCCCTTTTTGCTAGGTGCTGTCCAAACATATAGAGAGTATCTCTGCACCAAAGAGTTTAACCTTGGGGAGGGGGGCGGGAAGAAAGGAGGTTTCATTATCCCCATTTTATAAATGTGGATCAGAGGGATTAAGTGACTCACCCAAGGTCACACAAAGTCTGAGGGAGATCTAGAGAGTAGAACCCAGATCTTTTGAGTCCCTGTTCAGTGCCTTCACCGCAAGACTATGCTTCCTAGCTTCTCCTTATGTGACAGCTTCTCCTTAAATACTGATCTGAGGCTCAATGCTTTATATGCATAGAGGGTACACCTGTGCATCCTCACTGACTCTACTAGACGTTCACCAGTGTGACTCAAAACGTGGACCTTCCACCAGATCTCTACCCTTTCCCATAGAGAAACCCAAATCTTCTCCCCAGTGAAAAGCCAAGTCCAGATTCCTCTCTGGGTGCCACTCAAACAGCCGGTGATCATACAGCCCACTGAGACTGTAAAATGAGTTCTACAGAGTTTTCTTTGTTCACGTAATGTCCTCTCTTACCAGAACCCCAAGCCCAGCTCGGAGGAGATCTCCATGATAGCAGAGCAGCTCTCCATGGAAAAGGAAGTGGTTCGGGTTTGGTTCTGTAACCGGCGCCAGAAGGAGAAGCGGATCAGCTGTCCAGTGCCATCCCCCATAAAATCACCCATCTACAACTCCAGACTGGTGAGACCTGGTGGACCAAGGGGGTACCGGTTACTTTCCATAAGGCAGCAAGTGTAGCAGGGTACTAGGGAAACACGTGGCTTGCAGGAAAAGGAGGCAGCAACAGATGATCTCGTACATTTGTAGGGCATGGAAGCGTGCCTTGCCCCAAACTCTTCACAGATGAAACAGAAAGCGAGAGGGTTAGGTAATCAGAATGCCATTATCCAAATACTCCTGGGGCTAGTACCCTGACAACAAGTGGGCAAGACTTTTTTTCGTTTTAAGTTGCATCCAAAAATACGGCACTTTCAACAGCACCCTGGAGGCTCCTAGAGGCATTGGCTCAGCACTGACTCAGTGGGAGGAGCATTATCTACTGAATCATCAGCTTCACTTCCTGCAGTGCAGTTCCCTCTAGCTGGGCTTTGGTTACCGCTGACTCAGTGGGAAGAGTACTGTTGATGGAATTAACACCATCTGATTCCCCAGCACCTCCAGGGGAAAGGTGTGGGAGATGTTGCTGTGCAGAGGATGGATTGAGCTGGTATTCAGCATGCCAGGCTGCCCTTGTCTGATGGTCTCATCCCTCTCCGTAGAATGCAATTGTTTATGCTCTTTTTTAAAATAAAGACCAGATCACCAGCTGGTGTAAATCAGTAAAGTGCTAGGATGATTTACACCAGTTAAAAATGTGGCCCTATGTTTCTAGCCTTTACCGTTGCAAAGAAAAGTTTTCAAATGCTAATGGAGGCTGAGTTTTAAACAATATCTCTGAGAGTTCAGAACTGCCTCCCTTCATCTCAGTGGGCTGTTAACTCTAGAAGCCTACTGATGATGGCTTCAATCTCAATGGACATTGGAGAAGAAACACTGAATTGCTCTGGAACAGTGGGTGGAGTACAAGTCCACCAGTCTATCCCTTTTCCTCTCCTGCCATGGGATTAGGTGGTGGCGGCTGGAGAATTTATCGGGATGGGAGAATGGAAGGGGCCACCTAGAAGCAAGACACAAGGGATTAGAAAATGAGGATGTGTTAGAGCATGGCCCTGAGGAAGTCGTGCTAACTAACATGATGTTAAATGTGACTTTGCAGTCAATTTAAACAGCCAAGTCCTGTTCAAGGTGCCTGCTGGTACTGGGTAAACCCAGCTAGGAAACATAGGGCTAACCATGACCGGCTCACAGGATGTTAAACAAAGCTAGTCCCTGCCTACGTGACACTGCCCACGAAGTCGTGTTCAACATCATGTTAGCTAACACAGCTGCTCCAGGACTTGTTCTCATCCAATCAGGAAGTGAAGCCTTCAGCCACAAATGACGACCCAGGTTAGAGTGATGTTTCTCCCCTTTGGCCCCAGTTCAGCAAAGCATTTAAGCATGTGCTTAACTTCAGTGGCACTTAAGCATGTATGTAAGTGCGCTGCTGGGTCAGGGCATCTGAGACCAGAAGCCGGCATCGGTCGCTGCAGCTTCTTTCGCCCCTCGCCAAGCCTGGCAGTGCAGCATTATAACCGCTCCCAGCCTGACGTGCAGACAGGGCTCTCTGCTTTTCGGAGTGCATGGCAGTGCCAGGGGGAGGTGGCACAATCCTATGTAGCCTCGCTGCAGAGCACGAGCTGCTCTCGAGTATGGGGGGCACTGCATATAAAAGACACTCCCTGTTTCTTTGCCCACCTCTGTAGCTGCGGGCTTTGACTTGGCACCCAGAGGTTTCCTATTAAGGCAGGTCTGTAGCTTGTCGACAGTCTAATAGGCCTGGCTACAGTAGCAGGTGAATCCTGCTGCAGAAGTGTCTGCAAACACTCATTCAGCGCCTTAGCTTTGACGGTATCAGTGGCCTCTTTTAGTCACTGTCCATGAATGTTTTCATGAGTGAATTTTTGTTGGAAAGGGCCATCGTGTAAAGAGAGAACATCACAAATATGCGTTCAATAGTGTATTTGTAATCTGCTGGTGAATGGGTACAGCCAAATACTGCTGCCAGTTAATGAGCTGAGCTCAAGTGGCAGGAGTCTATTCTGCGGTGCTGAAGGTTGCTGGGGATTCATATGGGGGCAGGGCGGTCATTATGTATTCACAAGGGACAGTCTCATCTTGAAATCTCAGTGGGTTTGGGAGTCATCCAGTCAGGGAGCAGCAAAATACCATGTGACTTTTGGCCATCAGCTGCACAGCAGGACAAGCTACTTGCAAGCAATAAATATTCAAAGCAATAGTTTTTGTGAGTAGATTTGCCATGAACTTGTTGGCTGAAGTATGATCACGAGCTATTCACTGATCATGCCAAACAATTTGTTATATTTGTTTGATTACATTTATACAAATAAAAACAACAGGCGTAGATCGCCCCTCCCTCCCGGAAACTAATTACAGCCACAAAAATCTTAATTGGCAGCTAGCCCCAGACCAGGCAATAAAACTCAGCCCCCTGAAAAGAAAAAAATTCTGTGAAGTCGTTAAGAACGAGGCCACGATTTTCAAAAGTGACTAGTGATTAAAGATGCCTCTGATTTTGCGTCCAACTTGAGACACCTGGACGGGCCCTGATTTTTCAAAGGATGTGCTTAGTGCTTTTGGAAATCTTGGTCTAGGTTTGTAAACCTCCAAGTCTCTTCACAGATAATTAACAGAATTTGAAAATAAGGGCACGTCTCCAAAATGTAGTCGCTCTAACTTACCTCTGCATACATTTGCCGCGGTAATTACATCGCTTGTGTGTGTCTCCACTTTGATCCTTGTGTCAGCAGCGCGCATCTTCACCTGGAGCACTTGCACTGATTGAATTGTCAATTTGGGGCATTGTGGGACGGCTTCTGAAAGCCAGTAACAGTCAATGTAAGCAATGCAGTGTCTACATTGACACTGCATTGACCTAACTACGTCGACTCTATGCCTCTCGTGGAGGTGAAGTTATTAAGTTGGTGTAGCAGGCAAGGTGGGAGAGAAATTTTAATGTAGACACTTCCTTAGTTAGGTTGACGTAAGCTGCCTTTTGTCAGCCTAACTGTAGTGTAGACCAGATTTAAGCCCCATGTTGAGATCCTCAGCAGCGCTTCTAGTCCCCCTGCACTGGGGTGAATTTTGCCCAAACAGAAAAATGGGACTAGCTTTGCCAGTCAGAGGCAGGGAGCAAAGCTGGTCAAAAACCATGAAAAAACGTTGGCAATTTTTACCTGAAAATGTTTTTCATTGGAAGATATTTTTGATGAAAAAATTCTCCACTGAGCTGTGGAGCCAGTCAGAGAATGCCCCCCCCCCCCCAAAAAAACCCAGTGTTTTCAAAAACTTGTGCACATTGGTTGTTGTTTGAAAATAAACAAGCAAACCGCCCAATTCCAAAGCTTAGAACACCCTCATGCTTCAGAGCATAAGCCAATTTTTAAATATTAGGGATTGGGGGGAAAAATTCCTGGACAGATTATCCCATAACTGCAGGGTTTCTTGCACCTTCCTCAAAGGCATCTGGTGCTGGCCTCTATTGGAGACAGTCTAGATGCCCCCCTGGTCTGATTTGTTATGGCTGGGAATGGGAATCCTAGAACAGGGGCAGTGTGTGTAGATTCTGCGGAACGCAGCGGCTTAGTAGATAGGGGTCTCTTGTCATCCCTTGGTGAAGAGGTTGCCCTCTGCCTGTCTTTCCCTTAGATTAGAGGTTCCCAAACTGTGGTTGGTGAAGGGTCCCAAGACCTTGCTGGAGATCCATAGCAAGCTGCCTGGTTATATGGTGCTGGTTCTCTTCCTGGTTTCCAGCTGAGACGAACAGAAGCAGTGGGAGGGGGGGATGAAACAAAGAACAGAGGGGACTGTGGGCCTGCTTCTCTTCTCACTTATGCGGGTGTGACTCCGGGGTAACTCCAGGGAAGCCAACGGAGCTACGTCGCTGTGAATAACACCCGTGTTACACCAATGTAAATGACGGAGACTCAGGCCCGGAGCTCGTAGTCTTTTGGAACAGACCAGAACATCTATCACGGGAAAGGCGACTTAAAATACGTAAATGTTTTCCAAACATAACGTGTCCATGCAAGCAACCGTTCTAGTACCACCGCAACGTTGTGTGAGTGGGGAACCACCCCGTGGGACGGCTAATGGGAGAGGAGATGTCCGTCAGACAACCTCTCTTCTGAGATCGGCTCCGCACTGTGAAAAAGCTTGAGCGCCCCAGCCCTGGAGTGAGCCCGTGTTTGTGTGTGTTTGGGACGAAGGGATTGGTGTCTACAGGTGCACAGTCCAGTATGCTGCCCAGGGGGAATGGTGCGCCTTTCTCGCAATACTAATGTGGGAATCTGAACTGTATCTGGATAAGAAATCTATGTGGGTGTGTGTACAGTAGACTAAGGGATTCCTGTGGGAATGGGAGGTGAGTCCGTGACGGTGTGTACTACTAAGTGAATGGCACTCCGGGATCTATGTTCTTATTAATAACTGTGTGTCACTAATTCACTGCTGGCTTCTGTTCCCTTCCAGGTCTCTACCTCAGGCTCCCTGGGCCCCCTCTCAGTCAATCCAATCCACAGCACCATGCCTGGGACAGGTAAGCCTGGCTCAAGGATTGATGCCTCTCTCCCAGGGCCGGCTCCAGGATTTTGGCCGCCCCAAGCAGCAAAAAGAAAAAAAGTGGACCAAAAAAACAAAAAAAAGCCATGATCGTGATCTGCTCTACCGCCGCCACTTCAGTCTTCAGCGGCAATTCGGCGGCGGGTCCTTCACTCCCAGAGGGAGTGAGGGACCCGCTGCCGAATTGCCACAGAAGAGCGGGACATGCCGCCCCTCTCCGTTGGCCGCCACAAGCACCTGCTTGCTGGGCTGGTGCTTGGAGCCGGCCCTGCTCTCTCCTTTCCTTCACTGATAGCAAATTCCCTCTTGCTCTGCCGCCGATCAGTACTTAGCCCTTATATTTGATCCAAAGGCTGCTTGCATTTTGACATTTGCAGCCCATCCTAGATGGACTCCTGGACTGACTGCAATTAGCTGCCTGACATGACCAGTTCAGCAGCGAGAGGTGCAGATGGTAGAATCTGCATCTTCACTCTGGCCAAGTAGAGGAAATTCCCCTGGGGCGGAATGTTTCCTGTCTTCTCGCAGGCAAACGCTGATATCTAGGGATGGAAGAGACCAGAGCAAAACCCTGGATCCAAACACTCCTGAACTTTGAGAGGAGCTGGCTCCGGATCAATCTATTTCTCGTCTGATTCTTAGATTGTCAGCTCTTTGGAGCAGGGACTGTGTGTCTGTTCTGTGTCTGTGCAGCGCCTAGCGCAGAGGGGTCCTGTTCCATGACTAGGGGCTCCTAGGCATGATGACGATAATTATAATAGGGGCTCAAGTCTCTCTGTGCTAATGTGAAGGGCTTTGGAACAAGACTCAACTCCCCAGCCTGGATTTATTTATCTTTTTAAACTCCTTCACCTGCTCTCACCCAATCTCTCCCCCTTCCTTCTGCTGTCTTCCTTCCTTCCTTCCATTCTATCCCCAAATCTGCCTCCCTCCCACCTGCCTTGCCGCTGCCTCCAAGTTCTGGCAGAGGGTTTGGGGCTGGGAACACGCTCCACGGGGTGTGTCCTTGGAGGAAGAGTCTGGCGTCTCTTCAGCAGAGACGTGGCAGATCTCACACTGGAGGAACCATGTGCTCCAGTCGCTGTGCTTTGCTGCAAGGAGGATGCCCCCTGACCTCTTGTATAGGGGTGTCTAGCTTGTCAGACTAGGGCACGGTTAACATGCATTCGCTATTGCAGCAAGCCAAGGAATAAGGAGAGCAGTGGGACAGATGCGCCTGCTCCCCAGTAAGAAAGAAGAGGTGAGCCTCATTCTTGTCTCTCTTCTCGTGCAGTAACATCGTCGTGTTCCCCTGGGAACACCAGCAGGCCCTCATCCCCCAGTACAGGGCTCCATGCCAGCAGCCCCAGCGCATCCCAGAGCAACTCCAAAGCCACAATGAACTCGTCCAACTTCAATCCTTCTGGGTAAGGCGATGGGGAGCACCTGGCACTAATGCCCAGGGCATGGCGGAGCAAACAGGACCCTCGAGAAGAACATTCAGGGCTCGCTGCGTACTGTAGTGATGGCCTTTAGAAAAACCAAGTTAGATGAGGTCATTCCATTGTGGTGGTTTCATGCTCACTCTGAGAGTCCATGGGGAATGGCTGTTTTCTGCTTCCAGACTTATAGAAAAGACCACATTTCTTTGAAATCACCTGCTAGCAAAAATTCGGCATGTGAGCAGGTCTAGGGGGCTGTGATGCTTTCCTCCTGTATGTGGTAGGCACAGTGGGGGAAAGGAGAGAGGAAGAGAAGATTTATTTTGCTGTTGTGCCTACTTAGACCCTCTCCTCTGCATCCAAGCTGCCCTCCCAGGGACTGACCCGCTGTGTCCACCCACAGATAAAGCCCTGGGGATACATTTCCTTTGTCTGTTCTGTCCCCAGCAGATTCCCCATGCTTTGGGGCGAAGCCCTTCTAGCTGTTTCTCATCACATGCCCCGCTACTAAGTTCAGTGCTGCTGCTGGTGTCCCTCTCCTCCCCGGGTCACTGCTGCTCCTGCTCCCAACCAGCATTGCTCATGACAGCGGCGACAAGTTAGCAGAAAGCAAACCCAGAGCGTGTTGGGTGTTGCAGCAGCTGCTGTACCTCCTGAATCATGGAGGAACTTGTTCTGATCCTGTACACCTGCGACGAGGCAGGATCTGGTCTTACGTTGCCCCTGTGACTCCGCGTGCGTGAAATCTGAGCATGGCAGATGCTTCTTGGCCATTCAGAGAAGACTGGCTTGGTTATAGTGCAACACACCCTGAGTTTTGCTGTGAACCCCCTGTTGGGTTTAGAGGATTGGTTGCTGGCTAAGTAGAGCTACAGATGAAATAATGATGGGCTCCCATTTCAGAGGAAAGGAAAATAACGGTGCATTCGTGTTTGTTGTTTCCTTTGTTTTTCAGGTCTTGGTACCGATGGAATCAACCCACTTACCTCCATTGAGGCTATTGCTCCATCATGCACAAAGGGAGCCCTGACTTCTAGCCATGGACCAAAGTTTGGAGCGACGGTGCCTTCAAAGTGCAGCAGAAGGAAGGTCTTGCTTATGGGAGCCCAGCACAGCTGAACTGTTTAGAGACTCGAGCTGTAACTGAGCCTCCCAGGAGATTCTCAACTCCAGCAGTGAAATTTAACACCCTTCTAGGTGTTAACCAAAACAATCCCTCACTTAGCCATAGCGGCACCAAACACTGTCCAACGCGTGCGGATCTCTGCGATGCTCTGTATTGTCTGGCAATAGCTAATCTGGATGGATTTTCATATCTCACTCCTCCTTCTCCTAGCTCATTTCAGAGCTTCCCATGAGAAGGGTCTGCAGTGCCGTATCTGACCCCACACCCCTCCGTCTGCACCCACATCCCAGAAACCCCTGAACTGAACCCAGGTTACCACGGTCATTTCACCAAAGGCCTGCATCTAGATGTGAGCTTTGGTATCCTATCGACTTCCCAGGTTAATGTCATTGTGCTTTATTCCCTGCTCAACCTACTCAATGGTTTGCCCCTTTCCTAAAGCTCTTTTCTTGCTTTCTTTAAATGTTTAGAGCCAGGTGCCTCTTTACCTTTTTGTTTTCCTTTTAAAAAAAAAAGCACCTTATTTGTAAAGACACTGCTCCGGTCATCGCTCAGCTCCAATCCTTGCCCCACTGCTCCCTGGGTGGCTGTCACTCTTAGACATCATGGGTGAAATTCTGGCTCCTTTGAAGCCAACAGGAGTTTTGCCCCAGGATTTCGCCTCGTGTTTATTTTGCTTCCCTCTTATTTATCCATTGGGCTTCATCAGCTACCAAACAACAAGACTTGCCTAAGTTTATGTCTGTGTGTGTGTACGTGCCGAGCATTTTGGCTGAATTATTAACATGTAAATAGCTTTCCCATTCTTTGTGGTATATTCTTCCATTCCTGGGAGGACAGTTTGTATAACTCAGGTGTGAATTTTGAGGATTTTATTTTTCTGTGTGTGTATTGTTTAATTTCATTAAAAACCAAAGTATAGAAAATGTAACAAATTTCACAGAGTATCAACAGGGAAATCATGCTTATTTCACAGCTCATCTATCTGAAAGGAGCAGATATTTCATTTTGTGGAGTAGAATTAAGACATGAAATACATTACAAAGTCATGAGCCACATTCTCAGCTGGTGTCAATTGTCATAATTCCAATGATTTCAGTAGAGCTTCAGTGATGTACACCAGCTGACGCTCTGGTTCATAAAGTGTAAATAGACATTCTGGTTTGCAATGTTAATTCTATTTCTTTTTCTGATATCTGATGGTTATTTTTAGGCAAACACTAGCTACATTTTTAGGAGTAAAAATCCTGTTTCATTAGTGGTTTGAACAATTGTTTTCCTTGATTCAATGTTGTTTTTAAAAGCTCCCCAAAAGGCTCTACATTCTGGGGTTGTACCCCACAATGAATTAATGGATCTTTAGGGTTTCTCAGTCACTTCCACACATAAAACTCAATTCTGCAAACGTTGTATATTTCAGCTGTGTATATTTGATAGAACCTTATTCTGTAATTTTCTGGTTCATTGGGTTTTTTTCCCCTGAAACCAGAAACTCTAATAATAACTACAGCTGATTGAAAAATGGTTTCATTCAAGCTTTTCTGTGAATGGTTTCTTTTTTTTTTTCAACAAAATATTTTGAAGTAAAAAGGGGATAAAGAGTGGAGAGTTTTTTCCCCCTCCAATGAATTTTTTTTCCCAAAGAATTGAAAAATGTCTATTTGTAATTTTTTAACAAAAAAAAATCAAATACAATGGAAACAAAATTTTTTTGCAAAATTGTTCATTTTGGTCAAAAAGGCATTTTCTGTCAGGGGAAAAAAAGTTTCACTGGAAAATTTTCAACCAACTCCAATAATAAGAATAAGAATAATTAATAAAAGTCCGGATCTCATCCATTAACTTGAATGGAGCTACATTTATTTATACCAGATGGGGATATGGCCCCAAATCTTTGGGTCTGATTCTCCACTACCTTCTAACTATATGACTCCATTAATTTCAGTGACCTATATACAACTGGTAAAAAGGCAGAAGAGAAATCCGGATCAATATGTCCAGAAAACTTTCTACTTATGGCCCCTTGCATAATATGGCTAGAATTTTCTGAGTGGCTCTTGCTAGCGGAGTCCTTATATAGTTGCCCTTGCCAGTATGGAAAGAGATTTTTTCCCCCAGAACTGTACTAGACAAATGGAGCTATAAGAGACAAAGGGAACATTTATTTAACCACTGGATTCTCTAGGGAAAAACAAACTCTACACTGGTCAAGGAAACCGCACTCTAACTATGATCTAATAATTGCATTTAAACCCTGCTGTGGCCTGCATGGCTCGACCTCAGAGGATTATCCTGCAAATACTCCCCACCCTTACTGCTGTCAATTGTCCCATTAGCTTCAATGGGATTTCTCGCAATAGCGTGCTCTATGCCTAAACATAAGGCCCCAACTGTGCACAACAGAACACCTGTGTGGAAACACATTACCTTCACTAGGTGCAGCAGTCACCAAGCCTTCCTTGATGGTGCAGGATTGGTGCATAAGTGTTTATGGGTTTAAGACTATAATGTGGACCAAGAGTACTAGTAAAGGTGACACCTAACAATTTAAAATCCTACAGAATGCTAGGACATTCTGAACAACAGGACACACTGTTGTCAACTACTGTATTTTGAGGCCATAACTAAAATACCACAGTATATTTTTATACGGGGGGAACTTGGTTCTATGACTGATACAAATGAGCCCTCTGCTTTGCACATGGGACTCTGTTAAAGAGACACTCTAAGGTATTCTAGGCCTAGCATTTTGATTGTTTTCATTGGAAACCTAATATGAACAGAAATATTTTTAGTCTATTATAAAACATCAATGAAAACAGCTTTTTGTTTGTATTCAAATAGTTCTCTTGGCAAGAATCTGCCACCTGAATATTTCAGCCTTGTGCTGATTCATGAGAACCTGACAGTGAAACTGACCAGAAGCAAAAGTGAAATAGACTAACCTAGTTCCACTGTCCAAGATGAGGGAGCTGCAAAAGGTAACAAACAGCACTGACCTTGAAAATCCAACTTCAATACATTTTTCAATGGGACTTGTGCTCCTAAATCATGCAGGCACTTTTCAAATTCCCACATTTAATGCATTATTAGTAACCTGCCTGATTAGCTAGTGGGCTTATAATAGATGTGTTTGAATCTGAATTTGTTTCCAAGTACATTTAGATAGCAACTGGAAACCTGAGTATTTTTACCTCTATCATTAAAATGCATGATCTTTCAACCCTGGAGTGGGGTCGCCACTTTGAGAAATGAGTAAAGATTACGTGGACAAATCCAGAAGTTATGAGCTGAATCCTGATGGATTCTTAGTGCCTGCTCTTTCCATTCAGTGCCAGGGAGCTTGGAACCCTTGTTCAGCCGTTCTTTCATACACATTTACCTGGTGGAATTTACCCACAACCATCCTGTACTAATGCTGCCCCCAATGGAGACTTTGTCCGCATAATCTCTGGCTGAGACTAGTTTTGGAAGATATATATATGAGAGCGTGTGGAGTCGAGCGATGCTACGCCCGGCTCATGAGACAGCTCATGGTGTCTGACACCATCATGTAGTCCAGAGACATTTATACAGAACACATCACAGGACACCGTCAATACCACATTGAGTAATGGAGACCGCCGACCAGGGAAATAACCCACTTTCTTCCCTGACGAACCAAGGGACGCACCCCACCCATGTACTTATTCGTGACACCGATACTGACTTGGACTCTTAATACATTCCATGGGTGGCTTACCCGAGCCCACTTATCCACTGACGCTCTAAAAACTCCCGCACCCCAATCTGGGTCTATGCTGGTTATGTGATATGTATGTCTCTCGTGATCCTTGTAACTGATACCTGTAATCCCTCAAGTATCAGAGGGGTAGCCGTGTTAGTCTGAATCTGTAAAAAGTAACAGAGGGTCCTGTGGCACCTTTGAGACTAACAGACTTTGTTAGTCTCAAAGGTGCCACAGGACCCTCTGTTGCTGTAATCCCTCATAACTCAAGGGACCCCAGATGTACAGTACCTTCCCTCTTAACTTGTGTATATTTAATTTTAAACATTAACTTTAATAAAAATTTTAAATGTGCATACATACACCACCAGAGTGTGCTCATTGCTTTTGTTCACATGCAGGATCTTTGTTTTCTTTCCTACATAATTAGATTACATACAACATTATAATTAAGTGGTTGACCTGATTCATTTCCATCAGCTTCACATAAACAGTTTAGTCAATCCAGGCTGGGCAGTCGGTAGCTGTTTTGGCTGCAGAATTATTTATCATTATTATTATATTATCATAGCACCTAGGAGTCCCAGACCTGGACCGTGACCCCACTCTGCTAAGTGTGGTACAAATTCAGAACAAAAACACAATCCTGAGGAAGAGAGTTAATACAAATCCAAAAGTTATTAAATGTTTATATTGTGGTAGTGCCTAGAGGTTAACAGGTAAACATCTTCTTGCATTAGGCACTGTACAAATATGTAGAAAATGACAGCCCTAAAAATCTTCCCTCACACGCCTTTTCTGAGATGGAATGTTAGGGAGGATGGGATGGTTGCACGGTGTTAATGAGAGAATGAGGCAATATCCGAAATCTCATCAGGGTGCTGCATGCACCCATGCAGCACCCTGACCCCTACTTCCTGCAGAGCTGGGGTGGGTCTGCTGACTTTAGGACGATAGGACCAGCAGATGCAGCAGTAGAGCTGGTCAGAAAATGGGGTTTTATTCCAGCAGAAAATTGAGACTTTTTGTAAAAAGAACAGACAAGCCAAACACATGCTAATGGTCTGCTTGAAAGCCAACAATTTTTGGCTGAAAACTGAAAAATGTTTGGGTTTCAAGTTGTCAGCTTAAAAAAAAATCTAAGAAAGCAGACGCCTTCCATGAAAATGTTCAAAAACCCAGCTTTTCATCAGGGGGTGGGGGGGAAATGTTAGTGGAAAAGTTTCACCAAACCCTACAATATATAGAATGCTTGCACCCCTGCATGTCACTACAGTTCTGCGGGGTTCCTGGCACTGCAGTCTGCGGGGGAGTTCTGGGGTAGAGAAGTGATGGTCCACGAGAGGATCAGAGATGGGGCCGATAGATCTGTGACTACAATGATCCACCTACCATATGTCCTGGAGGCCCGATCCTGCTAGGTAGTTCACAGTATGAACTTCAGACCTCACAGGCTCAGGCCCTGGGAGAGGAGGAATTGCACCAGGAGAAATGAGGAGGATGTCAGAGCTTGGGAACAAGGTTCTTCCCTTCCCTCCCCCCCACACCCCCCACCCAAAGGGGACACACTCACAGAACTATATACTAGGAAGAATTATGGCCTTTAATTCTTAGGCTCTTCAGGAATGCCTGTGAAGCTCCAGGCAACAAAATATGGGAGTATGATAAAAGGCGGAAACATCTAGGTAATTTCTTTAATGACAAAACTAAACATGATCTGCAGGCATCCATTTGCACTGGGTATGCTGCAGACTCTGAGTAAAGACAACAAGAATTT